TTCTGGTTTAGTCCTAGTTCAGTCCTGGTTTAGACTTGGTTTAGACCTGGTTCAGCCCTGGTTCAGTTCTGATTTAGACCTGGTTCAGTTCTGGTTTAGACCTGGTTTAGTCCTCGGTTCAGTCCTGATTTAGACCTGATTTAGTTCTGGTTTAGTCCTAGTTCTGTCCTGGTTTAGTCCTGGTTCAGCTCTCGTTTAGACCTGGTTTAGACCTGATTTAGTTCAGGTTCAGCTCTGGTTTAATCCTGGTTTAATCCTGGTTTAGACCTGATTTAGACCTGGTTTAGACCTGGTTCAGCCCTGGTTCAGTTCTGATTTAGACCTGGTTCAGTTCTGGTTTAGACCTGATTTAGTCCCGATTTAGACCTGGTTTAGACCTGTTTTAGTTCAGGTTCAGCTCTGGTTTAATCCTGGTTTAGACCTGGTTTAGACCTGATTTAGACCTGGTTTAGACCTGATTTAGTCCCGATTTAGACCTGGTTTAGTCCTGGTTCAGTCCATATACGGCGTAAAAGTTCTGCATTTTCTCTGATTGTTATTTGACGATCAGTGACAGTCATTTTGTTGAAATTATCTTAAAGTTCTACAATACTAAATAAAAATCGTCACATTACAGTTCTGAAGTCAGTTGCCCAACAGTCGTCCTAAACCCTCCGCTGCTGCGCTCAAGCCCGTCGCGGCGCGTTTGATCCCGATAAGAGCCGCGGCGCAGATAACGGGCGCCCTGACTCTCACCGCGCCGGCCGTGGGAGGAAGTTACTCATTCACGGCGGTAATGATCTCGCCGCCGCCGCTCCCTGTTCGCTCTCCGGCAAGAATGAGCCCCGGATTCCTTTGTTTGAGTCAATAAAAGTAGAACAAACACGCAGACTGATACTGACGTCCCGGTGCGACCTTGTGAAGTGAGCGAACTCTGGTGCCATACAAGAACGTCTTATCAGTGTTTAAAGGGGAGGTCACGTTATTAAAGGGAATGATTGTGTCACCGCTGATGTGAAATGAAACCTAAACTTTGGAACTGTACAAAGGCACAACGTGAAGGTGTAACGCAAACTTTAATACAAACAATCACACCTTAATGATTCAATTTTGGCGGCTTTTTAGGTCAAAACATAAATAAAAAAATCAAAACATGGTCATACTCTGAAAATCAGGGGTGTCAAACTCATTTTGGTCCAGGGGGTCGTATCCAACCGACTTTGATCCCAAAGGGGCCGGATCAGAAAACTCATGTCATATAAACCCCAAAAATAACAATAAGTTCAAATATTTGTGCAGAGAAACACAAATCTATTAAAGACATATTTTTAACTGATGAACTCTTTCTTTTACAAAATATTATAATATTCTGAACAACCTGAAACTTTAAGAAAAATGTAATTTCAACACAATGTTTTAACATGAACTTGTATGCAAATAGTCCATTTTTCTTGTAAAATCCTGCACTCGGCTCCACTTTTCTCATGTTGGACATTTTTCTGATGAGGGTGTCACGGTCAACAGTCAAAACGATCGTCCTTTAAGAGCGTTTGGAAAGAGACAAGTCTTCATTTGTGCTGCTGTGGTGGGAGCACGATGATAAACAATGCAGAAAATTACCCATATTTTAATAAAAAATATAATTAAAATATTTTAGTAGAAAATCAGCCAAGGGCCAGAGTAAAGGTCTTGGAGGGCTGGATTCAGCCCCCGGGCCGTATGTTTGACAGCCCTGCCATAAATAGTACTTTCAGGTTGATGTCTAATAATAATATTGCCTTTTACGGGTTCTTTCACACTGACAGTAGTTGGAGAACCAAACGTTCCATTCCAACCAGAAGCTTTTAATTCAGTTTGTTTTCGTTGGTGTGAAAGCCTCAGTCGCATTCGGATCTGCACAAAATCAAGCGGACCGAGATCTCGAAAAGAGGTGGTCTTGGTCCGATTGATTCTGCACCAAATGCGCAAAAAACTCTGGTACGGTCTTTCTGGTGAGAACGCAAACTCGGGTCCAAACCAGAGACAGTAGGTCCAAACGAACTATTCAAAATGCATCAAGAGAGGGCAGCTCGGACACTCGAATTAAGCACACCAGCCCTCATTGCCCATCAAATTGAGCCTGTGGACTGGCAGGCCTCTGGGGGTGTGACGGAGGTCGGGGTTGGTGTTCTGTAGGTTTGCCCGTCCAAGACTGAGGCCTGCTTCTGCTTGGTGGGGACCGGCCCGCGTCCTGTGGAGGGGCTCTGTGTGGAGAGGCTCTGTGTGAAGAGGCTCTGTGTGGAAGAGGCTCTGTGTGAAGAGGCTCTGTGTGAAGAGGCTCTGTGTGAAGAGGCTCTGTGTGAAGGCCGCTGGGTGAGACGGTTTGTCTCGGCCTCACTTCTGAAAGACACGCAGGAGAGCCTCCCCAAGTCATGGTAAATGGTCACATTTTTCTATAGCACTTTTCCACCTTCAAGGCACTCAAAGTGCTTCACAACAAAGAACCACTCACTCATTCACACACCAGTGTACGCAAGGTGGGTTAAGTGTCTTGCTCAAGGACACAACAGCAGCATTCATCTGTTGGAGCTGGAATCACACCAGCCAAACTGTAGGTCAGTGGATCTGACCACTCAACCTGTGATGTTTATGTCAAGAGCTGGAATCAAACCGCCAACCTTCAGATCAGTGGGTGAATGTTCTACCAACTGAGCTACAGCCGCCGTGTGCAGCAGATCCACTGTGTGTCTGATACTTCAGTTTTGGTTTGTTTCCAGGTGTGAAAGAAACACACTTGAGTCTAAACACTACAGAATAACACATTTATTGCCTGGTGCAGACAAAATAATCAAACTTGCGGTGTGAAAGCGCCCGGAGACACCCAGAGCTCTGCACGGTGCATCAAGCGACTAGTGTAGCCACAGCTGCCCTGGGGCGGATTTAAAGAAGTGAGGAGGCCACACAGACACACACCACTTTCATTCTTGGTAAAGTGGGTGAAGTATCTTGACACAATGACTTTTTTCCCCTTTTATTTTCAAAAAAAGCACCATCTTAATCAGTATCAAATCCAGATATTATCAAAAAATGTAATGGAGGCAAACAATTACAAGACAATAACAATTATGATGATGAAAAATAAGATCAAAAAGGGAAAGAGAGAGAAGAAGAGAAGAAAATACGAAGTCTAAAAGTCTAAAGTTTCTAATGATTTGCAGTATTCCACAAACAAACTCCGACTTCAGGTTTTAAAACGTCAAAACCTCCGCTTCTTTCACGTTCGTCATGTTTACTTCACATTTATCATCTTTTTGTTCTCTGCGTCTAATCCCCGGCCGCCCTTTGACCCTCGCCTGTCACCTCAGGCCCTGTCGGTGTTCCTTATCGGCTCAGGCTCCTCCCCCTCAGGTGCCTTTTACCGCGGACGCCGGTCACATGACTAAAGCCCGGGCCCTCACCTGCGCTCTGACACGGACCCGCTCACCTCTGACACACCCGGACACCCGATACTGTTGAGCTCGCAAAACCGCTCGCCGTTTCATCTCCGCCGCCGTCGCCTGCGGAGGGACGAGCCTTCAGGGTCCGCCGACGTCACATCAAACGGACGCTTCTTTAAAGATCTGAGAGAAGCTTTTCATAAAGTCCTCAGATCACACGTACAGTTTTAGGGCTACGGGCGAAACTCTGGAGTCGCTGTAAGGTGAGACCGATCCAGGACTGAATCAGGACTAAAATAGGACTAAATCAGGACTAAACCGTTTTTCAGTCCCGGTTGGGTCCTGATCTCAGTCCCAGTCTCAGTCCTGGTCCTGTTCCCCCTGGTCTGGTCCCGATCTCAGTCCCGGTCTCAGTCCCGGTCTCAGTCCTGGTCCTGGTCCTGGTCCCGGTCCCAGTCCCAATCTCAATCACGGTCTGGTTCCGGTCTCAGTTCTGGTCTTGTTGTTCTCAGTCCCGGTCTGGTTCTGGTCTCAGTCCCAGTTTCAGTCCGGGTCTCAATCCTGGTCTGGTTCCGCTCTGGACCCGGTCTCAGTTCCAGTCTCAGTCCTGGTCCTGCTCCCGGTCTCAGTCCTGGTCTGGTCCTGGTCTGGTCCCGGTCTCAGTCCCGGTCTCAGTCCTGGTCTGGTTCTGGTCTCAGTCCCGGTCTCAGTCTCAGTCTCAGTCCTGGTTCTGTTCCCGGTCTCAGTCCAACGTAATCCCCTACAGATTACAGATTACACACCCCTACATGTCGTATCTGAATACTTTGGATTATTTGATTTGTTGTAGAGAAGCAAAGACGAGGAAATCGTAACATAAGAAGTTTTGTCTGATAAAAGAAAATAAAAAGCCCAAACTTTGCTGAACCAAATTAAAAATGTTATTGATAGAAAACGAGGAGACACGTACCACGCTGCATGGTTTAGTCCTGGTTTAGTCCTGGTTTTAGTCCTGGTTTAGTCCTGGTTTTAGTCCTGGTTTAGTCCTGGTTTTAGTCCTGGTTTAGTCCTGGTTTAGACCTCTTTTAAATCTAGTTTAGATCTAGTTTAGACCTGGTTTTAGTCCTGGTTTAGACCTGGTTTTAGTCCTGGTTTAGTCCTGGTTTTAGTCCTGGTTTAGATCTAGTTTAGACCTGGTTTTAGTCCTGGTTTAGACCTGGTTTTAGTCCTGGTTTAGTCCTGGTTTTAGTCCTGGTTTAGTCCTGGTTTTAGTCCTGGTTTTAGCCCTGGTTTTAGTCCTGGTTTTAAGTCCTGGTTTTAGTCCTGGTTTTAGGTTTTAGACCTGGTTTTTAGACCTGGTTTAGTCCTGGTTTAGTCCTGGTTTTTAGTAGTCCTGGTTTAGTCCTGGTTTTAGTCCTGGTTTTTAGTCCTGGTTTTAGACCTGGTTTTAGTCCTGGTTTTTAGTCCTGGTTTAGTAGTCCTGGTTTTAGACCTCTTTTAGTCTAGTTTAGATCTAGTTTAGACCTGGTTTTAGTCCTGGTTTAGACCTGGTTTTAGTCCTGGTTTAGTCCTGGTTTTAGTCCTGGTTTTAGTCCTGGTTTAGTCCTGGTTTAGATCTAGTTTAGACCTGGTTTTAGTCCTGGTTTAGACCTGGTTTTAGTCCTGGTTTAGTCCTGGTTTTAGTCCTGGTTTAGTCCTGGTTTTAGTCCTGGTTTTAGTCCTGGTTTTAGTCCTGGTTTTAGTCCTGGTTTTAGTCCTGTTTATCCTGGTTTTAGACCTGGTTTAGTCCTGGTTTTAGTCCTGGTTTAGTCCTGGTTTTAGTCCTGGTTTAGTCCTGGTTTTAGTCCTGGTTTAGTCCTGGTTTTAGTCCTGGTTTAGTCCTGGTTTTAGTCCTGGTTTAGAGAGTCCTGGTTTTAGTCCTGGTTTAGAGTCCTGGTTTTAAGGTTTTAGACCTGGTTTTAGTCCTGGTTTAGTCCTGGTTTAGTCCTGGTTTTAGTCCTGGTTTAGACCTGGTTTTAGACCTGGTTTAGTCCTGGTTTTAGTCCTGGTTTTAGTCCTGGTTTTGTCCTGGTTTAGACCTGGTTTTAGTCCTTGTTTAGACCTGGTTTTAGTCCTTGTTTAGACCTGGTTTTAGACCTGGTTTAGACCTGGTTTTAGTCCTTGTTTAGACCTGGTTTTAGACCTGGTTTAGACCTGGTTTTAGTCCTGGTTTAGACCCTGGTTTAGACCTGGTTTTAGTCCTGGTTTAGACCTGGTTTTAGTCCTTGTTTAGACCTGGTTTTAGACCTGGTTTAGACCTGGTTTTAGTCCCAGTTTAGACCTGGTTTAAATCTAGTTTAGACCTGGTTTTAGTCCTGGTTTAGTCTTGGTTTTAGTCCTGGTTTAGTCCTGGTTTTAGTCCTGGTTTTGTCCTGGTTTAGACCTGGTTTTAGTCCTTGTTTAGACCTGGTTTTAGACCTGGTTTAGTCCTGGTTTTAGTCCTGGTTTTGTCCTGGTTTAGACCTGGTTTTAGTCCTTGTTTAGACCTGGTTTTAGACCTGGTTTAGACCTGGTTTTAGTCCTTGTTTAGACCTGGTTTTAGACCTGGTTTAGACCTGGTTTTAGTCCTGGTTTAGACCTGGTTTTAGTCCTTGTTTAGACCTGGTTTTAGACCTGGTTTAGACCTGGTTTTAGTCCCAGTTTAGACCTGGTTTAAATCTAGTTTAGACCTGGTTTTAGTCCTGGTTTAGTCTTGGTTTTAGTCCTGGTTTAGACCTGGTTTAGTCCTGGTTTTAGTCCTGGTTTTGTCCTGGTTAGTCCTGGTTTATCCTGGTTTTGTCCTGGTTTAGACCTGGTTTTAGTCCTTGTTTAGACCTGGTTTTGTCCTGGTTTAGACCTGGTTTTAGTCCTTGTTTTAGTCCTGTTTTCCTGTTTTTAGTCCTGGTTTTAGTCCTGGTTTTAGTCCTGGTTTAGACCTGGTTTTAGTCCTGGTTTAGTCCTGGTTTAGACCTGGTTTTAGTCCTGTTTAGTGGTTTAGTTTAGACCTGGTTTTAGTCCTGGTTTAGACCTGGTTTAGTCCTGGTTTTGTCCTGGTTTAGTCCTGGTTTTAGTCCTGGTTTAGTCCTGGTTTTAGTTTTAGACCTGGTTTTAGTCCTGGTTTAGACCTGGTTTTAGTCCTGGTTTAGTCCTGGTTTAGTCCTGGTTTAGTCCTAGTTTAGATCTAGTTTAGACCTTGTTTTTTTTGGTGGGGGGGGGGTAATCTGTACTTGTAATCTGTTACTCCCCAACACTGTGCATTAGAATCATATCAGTGTTTTAAATGCTGTGTCATGGTTCACACCTGTGACCGTGTTTTTCTTCTCACACCAGTTCAAACATCCGCTGGTAAAGAGTCTGTGCACATAAACACAAAGCCTGGGGCAAAGTCCACATCCACGTCTGAACTATTACATTACCATTACACTGCAAAAATATTGATACCGTAACAGTTGTTGACGCAGTAATCAGTTCTGCTAGTAAATAAATATATCTCAGCGATGCTAAATCCTGCATCGTCCAGGAAAGTTCTGTTTTTGAAAGTAAAATGCAAAAAAGGCAGATTTTACTTGGGTTAGTATATGATTTTTATGGAGTATTAACTACTAACTGCCATATTTAGAGCATCATGTTACATTTTATTGTTTTGAAAATGTTGTACTTGTCAAAAACAGCATAATAACATGTTTAATAAGTTTTAGTTTTCAGTCCGTCCTCTCCTTTGCTCTGCGCACTAAAGGTCCGTTCACACCAAAGCGTCAAAGCGTCCAGTTTCTATGTAAAGTCTATGTGGACTAGAGCGTTCTGCGTTTTTGCGGCGCGTCTTCGGCGTCAGCGTGGCGTGAATCTGCAAAGGCGTCCAAATAGAAGCGTTAAGGCGTTTCTTGATGCTTTGGTGTGAACGGCCCTTAAGTCTCTCCCCTTTCTGAGCGAAATCACAATGTACAATCATTGCATCAGGTTTGTTGTTGTGTAGTTTTGTATCGTGCTTTTTGGAGAATTGTGGAAGCATGGGTGAGGCAGAGATCACTAAATTACTCAAACATGCATGGATGACATCTAAAATGGCCAAACCGGCTTGTCAAAGCCTGATCCCGTCAGATCTCAGAAGCTGAGCAGGGTCAGGACTGGTTAGTACTTGGATGGGAGACACTGGGAACACCAGGTGCCACAGTGGGGCGCCAGCGGCAGAAACTGTTGTTGTGTCCTTAGGCAAGACACTTCACCCACATTGCTATAGTATGAAAGTGGTGAAAGTGGTGTGTGTTTTTGTCAGGTTTAAGCCCACCTAAACATTGTAAAAGTAAGAAGAAAGACAAGAGATTAATGAGGATTTACTCGCGAGGAGGACGGACAGAGAGTGCGATCAGTTACAGCTTCTCCACCCGCCCTGATGCACTCCCTGTGTCTCCTCTTTTTATTGTCATAAGGGAGTTCCTAGTTACAATGGGTGTTTCTCTAAGGGGAGGGGTTGAAAACAGCAAAAAACAGTAGAAACATCAGACATGATTTCATTGTGCAGCAGCAGGTGGCCGATAAGGTGTAGCATCTTTGTTGTAGCATCTTTGTTGTAGCATCTTTATTGTAGCATCTTTAGGAACAGCACGTCCCCTCCAGCACGTCCTTGAGAGCCGCCCTCTTTCCCAGCAAAGTGAGAGCCGTCGTCTTTCTCAGAAAAGAGTTGACTAAGTCATTGTTTTAGCGGTGTGCAGAGTGGGTGACAAGTCACTGCATAGTTATAAGCACAAACATTATTTCACACAAAAAACAATACATAGAAAATATGGGATAACATATACACAATTATTCTAACAGTTTTCGTGAGTAATGGTGGTGGTTGGAGGGGCCGATGGAGCAGATCAGCAGCTGTGCTTCCGTCGGTCTGCCCCAGGGCAGCTCTGGCTACAGTAATTGCTTACCACCACTGAGAGTGAGAGTGGAGTGTATGAATAATGAACTGTAAAGCACTTTGGGTGTCTTGAAAGGCGCTGTGTAAATACAATGATTATTATTATTATTATTAAAATATATTATAAAATGGTAGAAAGCCCAAAAGCCTCGTCTTTATGTTTTTATGTTGACACAGTTTGACTAGTAAATGAAGGAACGCACAAAACGAAGGCTACCTAAAATACTACTACTACTACTACTACTACCACTACTACTACTACTACACACAGGGCATGATGCGTCAGTACAGTGTTAATGATCAGGAGGAGGAGTCTGTGCTCTATGGGAATGTGGGGCGAGGTGAGGTCAGAGGAGATATGTGGGTCACAGGGCCAAGGCTGCGGAGGAGGAGGGGTGGAACACAGGCACACGTAGACAATGACCTAAATAATATATGAATATATGAGTTTTTGTTGTTGTTTTTATTTATTTATTTGTTTTAAAAGTGCCATATACAATTAGAATATACATTTGATGCATTGTAACTATAGACTGTGTGTATAAATGGACACAGTTGTCGCGTTCCAAACAGGACGTGAGCCTGGGTGCGTTTGAGGCTCTAATTGACTTTACATTTCATTTCTGATCGTCAATAATCAGCTTGGCCAATCCTCAGTAAAAGCTTGTGTGTGTTCAGAGCTTTAAAGGAACAAATTTGACCATTTTGTGTTAAACCGTTGTCTTAAACCTCCTCTATATGATCCTGGTGTTTTTATTTTTCTATTTTGAAAAGGTGAGTTTATTTGTATAGCACACTTCGTCCACAAAGTAATTCAAAGTGCTTTACAGAATAAGACATACATTAAAATCACAATACAAACAAATTGAAATACAAATAATCATCGTAGAATAAAAAAAAAAAAAGAGAAAGAACAAGACATTAAATGAGAGAGAATAAGAGAGAAGTGTGCAGAATGAAAACCCTAGAGTCAGTCTCACATGTTCAGGAAGACTGTCAAAGGCTTTAGCTGCATGAAACTGAAATGCTGACTCTGCCATTTTGCCTGTGAAAAAATTACTGTTCTTAATATGGAACTTCCCAAATTCATATTACCCCCTGTAACTGCTGGTTGTGTGAGCTTCATTTGACTGGAGCTGAACGCTATGGGTGAGGTCAAACTTCTTTAGTCCACTTCTTTGTACAGTCTGTGATTGTACCAGGCTAATTTACATGTGTTGTTCCCTGGCAGGGAGAGGATTCTCTTATCAGCAACCGTGGATTTGAAAAGGTGAAGGCAAAAACATAATGAAAATGTGTAGTAAGTGTTTTAAACATTTAAAGGGACAGTCCGGAATTTTGGACATAGGACCTCATTTCCTCGTGAGTCAGAGTGTTGGAGACGTGTGGAGACACTTTTTTAAATATTCCATCCAGTCCTTGTATTTGCAGAGGTCGCTGGTGTTAGACTAGTGCAGGGGTCACCAACAAGTCGCCCGTAAGAACCACATGAGTCGCCCACCGGCCTGTTCTAAAAATAGCTCAAATAGCACCACTTACCAATGAGCTGCATCTAATTTATTTTGTTTGTGCTTCTTGTTTAAATCAAACTTACACATAAACTGGAAATAACAATATTTTTTTTTTAAAACTTTAAAAAATGTTTAATATAAATGAACTATGACCTAGTTTCGTTCAAAGGTCAGTATGATGCGCTACCAAAATGTAGCGTCTACGGCAGATTGCTACGACCAAACAACCTAGCGGGCGCAGCGAAAAAGAGGAGATGACTGACCCATAAAAAGATGGCAGAAAAAAGAAAGAAGACATATCATTTTCAGGACGAATGGGAGGTCGAGTTTTTTTTTACGACTGTGAAAGGAGCATGTGTTTGTATTATTTGCGGGGCGACTGTGGCGACGGCAAAGCGGCACAATGTGGAGAGACATTTCACAACGTGTCACACAAACTACCATGCTAACTATCCACAGGGCAGTGCACTGCGACTGTTGTAGAAGTGATCATTTTAAAATATTTTTGAACATTTTTTTTTTATTTAAAAAACACTTGTACTAAGCCAAAATATAGAAATAAAGTGTTGCATATTGATATTTATCTGTTCCCGATCTTGTTAAATCATTGTTGATATTCATTGTGAGAAATCATTAACATGATCAGTGTCTTTGCAGAGATGAATATCATTAACTATTAATAATGACATTTAGTTAAAGGTAAATTGAGCAAATTGGCTATTTCAGAAGTGTTATCAAACTGGTAGCCCTTCACATTATTCAGTACCCAGGAAGTAGCTCTCAGTTTCAAAAAGGTTGGTGACCCCTGGACTAGTGCATGTCAATGGTCATAGTTTATCCTGCCACTAAAAACAGTCTTACCCACTCCACAAAACACCTGAAGAAAATCTATTATTACACCAGACTGTTGATGTTTGAATGTTTGCGTTGATAGTTCATTGTTTGCGAGCGATTATTTTTCAATATCATTGCTGAAGCTCATACAGAA